CTGCATCTCAGTTGCCAACAATAGGCTTTTTGTGGGCTCTATTCCTAAAAGTAAAACCAAGGAACAGATTCTTGAAGAATTTAGCAAAGTAACAGGTAAGTTGGATTTATTTGAAAGGAGGTGCAACTTTTAATGATAATGAAGATGATGGCATATATTTCTGATTGCCAAGCACTGTTTTAAACATTTCATTTGTTGATTTATTGAGTCCTTGCCACAACTTTATGAGGTTGATGATCCATGTTTTAAATAAGGAAAAAGAGGCACAAAGTTTTGGGAAATAATTTGTGGAAAACTGTGTAAATTAGTGGGATTTAAACTGAGTCCACAAATCATTGTTCTACTTCTTGTTTTACACAGTTCTGTTTGTGTGTTCTTTTTAGGTGTTAAAATATATATTATTGATAAGTTGAGATTAATGTTATTGCTAATATGGTATATTTTCTTAAAATTGTAAAACATCTTTTATAACAGCTTGAAAATGACAGGTGGCTTGTATTAGAAAACATTCTTGTCTATTTACAGTGTTTAGCAAATTATTAGTCTTTGGAAATATTCAAAATTCTTAGGCAATAATATTTGCTAATTTCTTTTGAATTAAAACCATTAATATTAATACCTGAGGTCAGAAAAGTACCATTAGAATTTCAGTGTTTGTTTACTTAATAAAATTTGTCTAACTGTGTTTGACGTATTCTGGCATTTTCCAAAATTATTATATAAAGATTATTAACTGTTTCTGATAGAATTAGTGGAAGCAAAATAGTCAGTATAGTCAAACAGTCATTTAGGCAATAAAGTCACGTTTTCTTTTGAGGGGGTTTCTGGATTGGAAAAACTTGAAAGGGTAGATTAAGAAAATCATTTGGTCTTTTTTTTAATGGTCTTTTTTTTTTAACAGTCATTTGTAAAGATGACTAGTTTAAGAAGTTTTTTATATTGATATTTAGTATTTTAGAAAAAACAAATTCTTTCATGTCCTTATTCTTGGTAGTTACTTTATCTAATTTCCCTGGAATGGGTTGCTTACTTTCAGAGGGTCTTACAGACGTCATTTTATACCACCAACCGGATGACAAGAAAAAAAACAGAGGCTTTTGCTTTCTTGAATATGAAGATCACAAAACA